TGAATATTCAGCCACACGGCTAAGTGTTACAACGGCCATTAGCTGTGTGGATGAATATTCAAGTATTCCTAATGGCCTAGAAATTACTAGCACCTACTGTAAGTAATGTAGTTTGGTACAGCTACACGTGCATTTTTGCTTAACCCCTAATTCCACCATATATAAAAGTATGATTTAATTGGGATCCGGCCTGCCTTGAATTCCACACCTGTCCTATGGCTCAGTGGCACCCGTGGCTATGTGACCAAGTAGCCACGAATTACTCATAGTCTCGAGACTTATTTATTCTGAAAGTGGGCGACTCCGTTAAGTACACTGGAATATTCTTGTTTGCCTAATCGATAATCCCATCATAAAAATGTGATTTGGAAAGGGATTTGCATGGCTTGAATGCTGCATCTGCCCACTGGAACCCGTAGTTGTGTGGCCGAGTATTTAAGTACTCTTAATGGCCTCGAAAAGTACTGATCAACCGAAAATCCCACTATATAAAAGTATAATTTAGCGTGAGACCTGGCATGCCGTAAATTTCGCATCTGCCCTGTGATACACTGGCAATCTTGGTTGTGTGGTGGGGTGGTTGCGTCACCGCGATACTCGTGACGCGATATCGAATCCGGTGAGGTGAAGCGTACAATCCTGGAGCCTAGTCCTGTTGGTGTCTGGGGGAAATTAACAATCTGTCCCTAAGTCGGCCCGAACGACCAAGGCTGATTAAGTTGTTGCTGTGCTTGCTGTTGAGGTTGCAGTGACTTGGAGTGATTGCAAACGCATGAGGGAGTGAGGCAGTAGACGCTCACCGTTCGAGCCGTCCGATGGAAGAGTCGGCACCGTCTCGAATGTACTGCTTGTAGCCTCCGGCCCAAGTTGGCCAGGCTGGCGTGTCGTCGGTAGCTGTGGCGACTGCGTTTGTAACTGCAGCTGCAGCTGGAGCTGGGCGAGCCGAGCCTCGGTCGTCGGCGCCAACGCCAAAGCCGGAGCCGGAGCAGTAGCCGGCAGGGTGGGCTGGCGCCAGACTCGTTCTGGAGTGCTCGTCTGCCCCGTAGCCATGGGGCAGATGTCACTCGAGCCGCCGGCTCTACGAAGCGGTGGATAGCCGACGAGGTGGGCCTGAGGCTGTGCCTGCAAGTGGCCCGGCTGATGCTGGGGCGATGAGACCGACAGGAGTCGTGAGGTCCAAGCGCTGAAGTTGCCGAGCGACAGGCCCGCGGGAGCCAGAGGTGACGGCGTTGGGAAGGCAGATGAGCCGCCCAGGGCGACGGGAGACCGGCTGCGCGGCGACAGGTTGTAGGCGCCCAGGCGAGCTTGGGTCATCTGGAATGCGGCCAGGCCAGTGGCTGCGCTCGCCTCCAAGGCCTGCGCCGGACTCGTCGGCATCGGCCAGCCAGAAGCGGGACTCGCAAAGGCCAACTGCTGCTGATGCTGCTGCGGATGTTGGCGCTGTTGTTGGTGTTGACGGGGTGGGGGAGGCGGTGCTTGGGGCTGCAGCTGGCAGGGGCCGGGGAGGAGGGAGACGACGGGGTAGCTGGGCGGGAAGTCAGTCCGCAGGTTCGAGTCCGCCTCGTCCGCCTCGACTGCCGGCCCAAGTCCGTCGTGCCAGCTCAGACCGACAGCCGGACCGGGCCGGTTCACGTGAATGTCGGGCCGGCCCAGCGGACAGCCGGGTCGCCCAGCCGACTGCCAGACATGGCCGACCGAGGACAGCCATGGAGACGGCCCGGCCGGGCCGACGGGCAGTCGGATGAGCTGGCCGACCGGATACACGGTGCCAACGGGCGGCTGGTGCCGTAGCGACTGCGGACCGGTTGCTGGTGGAAGGGGCTGTGACGGCCGAGTCGAACAGACGAGACATTCGACTTAAATTCACAGGAAGTAGGTCTTAAAGGCTGTCATTAAAACTGGAATAGAGACTCGAAGCTATGAAGACCAAGATGGTGTGGCCTTCGGTATGGTCGCAGTCCCCATTCGATGTATAGAAGTGAGTTGACCTCGTTGTCGCAACTTGGTCTTGTTGTCAGGGCGACTAGCTAGAACATACCTAGTCCGAAGTCCTCTGCCAAAGTAGTTATCATAATTCTCAGCGTAAGACAGTGAACTCAGTACATTCTCAGACGTTTCGCCGACATCGTAGTCGGCATCATGAGCGTGATTTGCTATTCTCTGCACCAAGCTACGAACTGGTCACAGAGACAAGTGAAGCCAATCCTTCCTCCAACGTTCTGCCAATAACGAAATGGCAACACTCACTGATGATGCCGACTACGATGCCGGCGAAACTTATGAGAATGTACCGAGTCCACTGTTTTATGCTGGGATTTATGATGACTACTATGGCAGAGGATTTCGGACTAGATACGTTCTACTAAGTCTCCCGGACAACAAGACCAAGTTGCGACAACGGGGTCAGCCCACTTCTGGAATAGGGACTTATTGTGAATTTTTCGACACTCATACAAGTAGACATCACCGTACTTAAAGATGTGCTTCACAACATGCCTCACCAAATGGTTGTTCCCATTCTTTGGCCTACAACTCTCTGAACAAGACGTTTGCGGCTCTGAATTCGGTAGGCAAAGGTTGCGGAGCCAAACATAAGAGAGCATTTTTGTTATATAAGTAGGTTTTTGAGACTACCAGCAGTTGTATTCACTCTTTTTCACTAGAGGCGATGATGTACTGACAGTTATTTTTCTCACAATGAGATGAGTAGACCTGGCGAGGCCATTTAATTTCACTTGGTCAAATCCATTTCAACTTAATTTCA